CCATTTTACCCTGCTTGTGCCAGGGAGACTGGGTGGTTTGGACTGGGAGGAATTCGCCACAGTGCAGCACAGAGGCTGTGGCAGATTGTGGCCAGACTGCTTCTTTAGGTGGGACCCAGGTCCATCTCTCCTCACTGGGTGGGGCCTCCCTGTGGGAATTTCAGCAACTCCAGCCAGAGGTTTGCAGATGGAACTCTGATCTCCCTGGGATGGAGCCCCTGTGGGGAAGGGCAACCGTGGTCTCCAGTTCAGCAGACTCATCTTTCCTGCCTGCTGGCTCTGAAGAGTCCAGGCAGCATGGACATGGGGGATTCCAACCAGTGCAATGCACCCACTCTGTCAAGGGACAGCCAGAGTGCTTCATTAAGCAGGTCCCTGATCCCATGCTGACTGACTGGGTGAGATCTCACAATAAGGTTTGCCAGACATCTCATACAGGAGAGTTCCAGCTGGCATCAGGCTTTTGCCCCTCTGGGAAGGAGCTCTCAGAGGCAGGAGCCGGCAGCCATCTTTCCTGTTCTGCAGCCTCCACTGGTGATAGCTTCAGGTGAAGGAGGGACCCCAGCAGATAGGGTCTGGAGTGGACCCCCAGCAAACTGCAGCAACCCTGTGGAAGAGGGGCCTGACTGTTAAAAGAAAAACAAACAGAAAGCAACAACAACAACAGCAACAAAAAGGACCCCACAAAAACCCAATCCAAAGGTCAATAGCATCAAAAATCGAAGGTAGGTAAACCCAAGAAAATGAGAAAGAAATCAATGCGAAAAAGTTGAAAATTCAAAAAACCAGAGTGTCTCTTCTCCTCCAAATGATCACCGCACCTCTCCAGCAATGGCACAGAACTGGGCTGACGCTGAGATGGATAAACTGACAGAATTAGGCTTCAGAAGGTGGATAATAACCAATTTTGCTGAGCTAAAGGAGTATGTTCTAATCCAATGCAAAGTTCTCTCAGTGGAAACCCTACAAGCCAGAAGAGATTGGGGGCCAATATTCAACATTCTTAAAGAATTTCCAACCCAGAATTTCATATCTGGTCAAACTAAGTTTTATAAGTGAAGGAGAAATAAAATCCTTTTTAGACAACAAATGCTGAGGGACTTCATCACCACCAGGCCTGCCTTGCAAGAGCTCCTGACGGAAGCATTGAATATGGAATGGAAAAACTGTTACCAGTCACTACAAAAACACACTTAAGTACACAGACTAATGACACTATGAAGCAACTACATTAACAAGTCTGCAAAATAACCAGCCAGCATCATGACAGGAACAAATTCACACATATCAATATTAACCTTAAATGTAAATGGGCTAAATGCCCCATTTAAAAGACCCAGAATGCTAAGCTGGATAAAGAGTCAAGACCCATTGGTGTGCTGTATTCAAGAGACCCATCTCATGTGCAAAGACACATATAGGCTCAAAATAAAGTAAGAGAGGAAAATTTACCAAGCAAATGGAAAGTGAAAGAAAGCAGGGGTTGCCATCCTAGTTTCTGACAAAACAGACTTTAAATCAACAAATTCAAAAAAGACAAGGAGGGCATTACATAATGGTAAAGGAATAAATTCAACAGGAAGAGCTAACTATCCTAAATATATAGGTACCCAATACAGGAGCACCCAGGTTCATAAAGCAAGCTCTTAGAAACCTACAAAGAGACTCAGACTCCCACACAATAATAGTGAGAGACTTGAACACTCCACTGTCAACATTAGACAGATAATTAAGGCAGAAAATTAACGAAGATATTCAGGACTTGAACTCAGCTCTGGATCAAGTGGACCTGACAGATATCTGTGGAACTCTCCACCTCCAAACAACAGAATATACATTCTTCTCAGCACCACGTGGCACTTATTCTAAAATTGATCACACAATTGGAAGTAAAACACTCTTCAGCAAATGCAAAAAGAGCTGAAATCATAACAAACAGTCTCTCAGATCACAGCATAAACTAGAAGTCAAGATTAAGAAACTCACTCAAAACCACACAACTACATGGAAATTGAACAACCTGCCTCGCAATAACTCCTGGATAAATAATGAAATTAAGGGAGAAATCAAGAAGTTCTTTGAAACTAATGAGCACAAAGAGACAATGTACCAGAATCTCTGGGATGCAGCTAAAGCAGTGTTAAGAGGAGAATTTATAGCACTAAATGACCACATTGAAAAGCCAGAAAGATCTCAAATTGACATCCTAACATCACAACTGAAAGAACTGGAGAACCAACAGAAAATGGATGAATTCCTGGACACATACACCCTTCCAATACTGAAACAGGAAGAAGCTGAATCCCTGACTATATCAGTAATGAGCTCTGAAATTAAGGCAGTAATAGCATACCAACCTAAAAAAAAAAAAAAAAAAAAAGGCCGGGACCACACGAATTTACAGCTGATTTCTAACAGAGGTACAAAGAGGAACTGATACCATTTCTTCTGAAGCTATTCCAAACAATTGAAAAGGAGGGGCTCCTCCCTAACTCATTCTATGAGGCCAGCATCATCCTGATACCAAAACCTGGCAGAGATACAACAAAAAATGAATACTTCAGGCCAATATTCCTGATGAACATCGATGCAAAACTCCTCAATAGAATAATGGCAAACTGAATCCGGCAGCGTGTCAAAAAGCTTATCCACCACAATTCAGTTGGCTTCATCCCAGAGATGCAGGGCTGGTTCAATATATGTAAATCAATAAACACAATTCATCATAAAACAGAACTAAAGACAATAACCACATGATTATCTCAATAGATGCAGAAAAGTCCTTCCATAACATTCAACATCCCTTCATGTTAAAAACTCTCAAAAACCTAGGTATTGAAGGGACATACCTCAAAATAATAAGAGCCATTTATAACAAACCCACAGCCAATATCATACTGAATGGGCAAAGGCTGGAAGCATTCCCCTTAAAAACCAGCATAAGACAAGGATGCACTCTCTCACCACTCCTATTCAATATAGTATTGGAATTTATGGCCAGGGCAATCAGGTAAGAGAAAAAAATAAAGTGTATTTAAATAGCAAGAGAGAAAGTAAAATTGTCTTTGTTTTCAGATAACACAATCCTGTATCTGAAAAACCCCATGGTCTCAGCCCAAAATCTTCTTAAGCTGATAAGCAACTTCAGTAAAGTCTCAGGATACAAAAATCAATGTGCAAAAATCACAAGCATTCCTGTACACCAACAACATACAAGCAGAGAGCCAAATCATGAATGAACTCCCATTCACAACTGCTACAAAGAGAATGAAATACCTAGGAATATAGCTAACAAGGGAAGTGAAGGACCTCTTCAAGGAGAACTACAAACCAGCTCAAGGAAATCAGAGAGGACACAAACAAATGGAAAAACATTCCATGCTCATGGATAGGAAGAATTAATATCACAAAAATGGCCATACTGCCCAAAGTAATTTATAGATGTGATGCTATTCCCATCAAACTACCATTGACATTCTTCATGGAATTAGAAAAAACTACTTTAATTTTCATATGGAACCAAAAAAGAGCCCATATAGCCAAGACGATCCTAAGCAAAAAGAACAAAGCTGGCGGCATCAAGCTACCAGACTTCAAACTATACTACAAGGCTACAGTAACCTAAACAGCATGCTACTGGTACAAAGACAGACACATAGATCAGTGGAACAGAATAGAGAACTCAGCAATAAGGCCACACACCTACAACCATCTGATCTTCAAGAAACCTGGTTAAAAAAAAAAAAAGTAATGGGGAAAGAACTCCCTATTTAACAAATGGTGCTGGTGGCCGGGCATGGTGGCTTACACCTGTAATCCCAGCACTTTCGGAGGCCAAGGCAGATGTATCACAAGGTCAGGAGATGAGACCTTCCTGGCCAACATGGTGAAACCCCATCTCTACTAAAATACAAAAAATTAGCCAGGTGTGGTAGCGCACACCTGCAGTCCCAGCTACTCAGGAGGCTGAGGCAGGGGAATCACTTGAAATTGGGAGGTGGAGGTTGCAGTGAGCTGTGATCGCACTACTGCACTCCAGCCTGGTGACAGAGCAAGATTCCATCTTAAATAAATAAATAAATAAATAAATAAATAAAATTGTGCTCAGACAACTGGCTAGCTATATGTAGAAAACTGAAAGTGGAACTCTTCCTTACACCTTATACAAAATTTAACTCAAGATGGATTAAAGACTTGGAAGTAAAACTGAAAACTATAAAAACCCTAGAAGAAATCCTAGGCAGTACCATTCAGGACATAGGCACAGGCAAAGATTTCATGACAAAAATGTCAATAGCAATGACGACAAAAGCAAAAATAGACAAATGGGCTCTAATTAAAAAGTTTCTGCACAGCAAAAGAAACTATCATCAGCACAGACAACCTACAGAATGGGAGAAAATTTTTAACAAATTTACAAGACAAAACAATTCCATTAAAAAGTGGGCAAAGGACATGAACAGACACTTTTTCAAAAAAGACATTTATGTGGCCAACTAACATATGAAAAAACGATCACCATCAGTGATCATTAGAGAAGTGCACATCAAAACCACAATGAGATACCATGTCATGCCAGTCAGAATGGCAATTATTAAAAAGTCAAGAAACAACAGATGCTGGTGAGGCTGCAGAGAGACAGGAAGACTTTTATACTGTTGGTGGGAATGTAAATTAGTTCAACCATTGTGGAAATTCCTCAAAGACCCAGAACCAGAAATACCATTTGACCCAGCAATCCCATTACTGGGTATATACCCAAAGGAATATAGATCATTAAATCATTCTATTATGAAGATACATGCATGTGTGTGTTCACTGCAACACTATTCACAATAGCAAAAACATGGAATCAACCCAGATGACCATCAATGACAGTCTGGATAACACCATGCAGCCATAAAAAGAAATGAGATCATGTCCTTTGCAGGGACATGGATGGAGCTGGAAGCCGTTATCCTCAGCAAACTAATGCAGGAACAGAAAACTGTATATTCTTACTCACAAATGGGAGCTGAATGATGAGAATACATAGATGCATGGAAAGGAACAACACACTGTGGGGCCTATGGTGGGATGACATGGTGGGAGGGAGAGCATCAGAAAAGACAGCTAATGCATGCTGGTCTTAATACTTAGGTGATGGGTTGATAGGTACAGCAAACCACCCTGGCACAGGTTTACCTATGTAACAAACCTGTGTATCCTGCACACGTTCCCTGGAACTTACCAAAAAAAAAAAAAAAAAAAAAAAAAAATTTAAAAAAGAGAAATATTCAGGAAGGACTTAGAGACAGTGAAAGTTAAGCTTACATGGGTCCTATTGCAGATGGGCAGCTACCTGGTCCATGGGATGTTCTACAGTTAATGGATCTGGCCTCTAGCCCTTATGGGGTGGGGACAGGAAGAAAATGTCATAAAGCTAGGAGACATTATTAAAGGCCCTCATTTATAAGCAGTCTTTGTATACATAGAGATGAAACATATCCCACTTTAAAGATAGGAAAGTGTGATGGGAAGGTTTTTCAAGTTGGTATAAGGTGTGAGTCTACAAAAAACCCTTCAATTAAGAGAGTAAGGTTTGTGGCAAGACAGAGACCTATTTAGAGATCCATTGCTGAACTGGTATTTGAAAAGGGGTTGTTTTAGGAGACCACTATGCCTCTTTGTTAAATCAGCTATCTTGGGTCTAGCAGGGAAATTAAATTTTATTCAATGCCTCTTTCAAGAGTCCAGCATTGTGTATCCTGACAAGTGAAATGGTTAGTATAGTGCCTTGGTTATTATCAGTAGTGACTCCAACTCCAGAAGGAATAATGAATGATAAGGATATATCTGTATACACATTTGCTTGCAGACAATGCTTCTGCCATTACTACTACTGGTGGGCTTACAGAATGCCATTTCCACAATCACGGTACTACAACACAGCATTGCTGCTGATCAAGGAACTCTCTTCACAGCAAAGGAAGCACTTCAATGGGTCCATGCTCATGGAATTAACTTGTCTTACCATGTTCCCCACCACCCTGAAGCAGCTGGTTTGACAGACTAACGGAGTGGCCTTTTGAAGACCTAAAGTACTAGCTAGGTGGCAATACCTTGCAGGGATGGAACAAGATTCTCTAGAAGACTGTATATGCTCTGAATCAGTGTCCAATATTGAGTACTGTTTCTTTTGTAGCCATAATTCACAGGTCCAAAAATCACAGGGTAGAAATGAGAGTGGTATCCCCATTATTACCCCTAGTGACCCATGAGCAAAGGTTTTGTATCCTGTTCCCATGACTGTGCTCTTAGGTCTTAGTTCTGAAGGAAGAAATCCTTCCACTCAGACACCCTAGTGATTCCACTGAACTGCAAGGCTGCCACTGGCCACTTTGGGCTACTCATGCCTCTGAATCACCAGCAAAGAGGGAGTTACTGGCTGGGGTGGCTGATCCCGACTACTGAGTGGAATTTGGACTACTCTTTCATAAGGAACAGTATGTCTGGAATACAGGAGATTTCTGCAAAATTTTATTGAAATTATAATGGACTTATATGTCCTTAGGCAGGAAGGACATCTTTATAGTAATGAGTTTCCATTAATGAACATGACCTTTCTATCCATTTATTCAGATCTTTTAAATTTTCTCTAAAGTTGTTTTGGGGAAATAACATACATCTGTCGCTACATTAATTCCTTGGTACATGGTATTTTTATAATACTGCATTTATTTTCAAGTGTATTTTTGCTTTTTGTAGCTGGCTATTAGTTCTACCAGGTATGCAATGGGCTGAGCTCTGTTGCTGGAATGAGATGTACCTGCATGGCAGTGACCCCTAACTGAGGTGTCAAATATACAAATTAATAAGTGAATCCAAGTTGAGTTTGGGTGTGGTTGGTACCATCTCATCACCATTGCCATTGGTAGTAGTAAAACTGATTATTAAATAGGTTTCCACCTGGTCTTGGCGAAAACACAGGAGATCTTCTGTTGGGAGCTAATTTACAGTGAGAGTATGTCTACATGACCAGCAGGGTATACAAGAATCCCAGTTTATATTATATTCCTACACTACGGCTCCAAATAAGAGTGTAGAGAACCAGCACAGTTCTCCCATTCTGAGCTATTCTACACACACAGCTGATTTCTTACCTGAGGAAGCATATTCTGGCAGAACCCTGCAGAGAGGAAAAAAATAGAGCTCGTGCCAGCCTCTCCTGACCCTTCACTGAGGCAGCCTTTGGCTGAGATGCTTATCCTTATCTGATGCATATCATTATTTTGTTACTGGTTTATTGTATCCTTTTCTATCAACTAACTGTAGATTGCTAAGTGATGTATTTTGTGGGTCCTGTGCCCTAGCATTGAGACACAAAAGTGATTTTGAAATATTGACCTGTATTTAGCAAACTTTTATACTCATTTAGACGTTCTGAAATTTATATGTAGATTGAGATTCATAAAGCATATAATCATAAATCCATGTCTTAACTATTTCACCGTATAGAACTTCTAGTATGATAAACAGTATTTGAATATTGCAGACATCCTTGAGTTATTTTCAACATGAAATTGTTTAGACATCTCACCAATAAATCTAAGGGAAGCTGTTTGTTTTTTTAGTTTTTTTTTTTCACATGAATAAATGTTGAACTGTGTCAAAGGCCTTTTATTCATTAACTGAACAATCACTGGTTGATTTTTTTTTAATAATTGTGGTGAACCAATAAAAGCTAAAGTTCTTTCTAATCATGGGCTTAACTGAATTAGTTTTAAAATGTGGTGTCTTCATTGCCATTCAGTTCAATATATTTTCTAACTTCCACTTGATTTAAAATTCATGTTTGATAGTGTATCACCAGTTTGTTTGAAACAGGCATGATTAACTGCATCTTAGAGAACTCGTCTGTCCTGGACTGACTGAAGAATTTCTGCACTTTGCCATGTTCCATTTTTCCATGGAAACAGTGCTCTTCAGTGAGCCTCTCTTTTCAACTCCACCATGTCACTGGTCTACCTGGTCTGGGAGCCTGTCAAGAAAAGGGATCTCTTTTGTCATGAATTCAATGTATTCTGACTCAGAAGATGCAGACTTTGACTCCCACCATTGGCCTTGATTGGGTCAATGCATTTCAGTGAATTTGAAGCACGCATCAGATGCACATGACTTACATCCTAGTTGATTGACTCCCTGCACGCTGAGGATTTCTATCCTGTTCCTGTCCAAAAGTACCTGAGTTATACATTTTGTGTTCTTGAGAGCACAAACTACACAGCTAACACGTGGAGACTATGATATGGAACTGGCTGATTTTGAATCCCAGCTCACTGATCCTCATTTTTTTAAATTTTTTTAATTTCTGGGAGTCTGTATAGTCCAGACCTGTAATGAAGGAATTGAAGAATAAATCACAAGGTGTGTGTACGTGTGTATGGAGGTGGGTTCCAGACCTCCTGGGCCCACTGTGAGAGCGTCTCAGGCCTGCATCCCTCTGCCTGGGGACCCAGAAGAGCCTGGCAGGTCCCAGAGATGAGCAATCCAGAGATCAGGAGGTTAAGGAAGCATTTATTGAAAACCTGTGATGTATCTCTGGCCCAGACCCAGAGGCAGAGTCAAGCCGAGGCTTCAATCAGTCACAGGAGCCTGGGGGTCTTGGGCCCAACCCCTACTCCTCACCAGTAGACTCAGATGAGATGGGTTGTATCAAAGTAACTCCTTTGTTTCCTGAAAGCCCCTTGGGCTAAGGTCAGGGGTGGAGTGTGTCCTCCTGGCCTATGAGGACATCAGGTCCTGCTCGGTGTGCAGCTCCAGGTCTTTCTCCTCAGGGGCTTTTAGGGGCTTGGGACTGGCCTGCAGGTGGTTAGTGTCCAGGGTGGGAATCTATATCTGTCCCCACGGCCACATGGTCCCCTCCTGCCCCATCAGCACCTTGGGTGGACCCACTATGGGAAAGCCCTTCGCCACAGACCATCCTCTGAGGAGTCCCAGGACCCCCTCCCTTGTCCTCCTGTCCCTTCCGCCATCCCTTCAGTAGCTGTCTCTGTTCCCTGACACCCAGTTCTGGGACTTACCACTTCTCCTGGGCCAGCCTCTTCCTCTTGTGTGCTCTGGGCTTGGGCAGGGACTTGCATTCCACGCTTTTCCAGCTCTTCCTTCAGCCTGGACAGGAAGAGGTAGGATGGGGGAAGGAAGAAGAGGGAAGGGTGGAGGAGGGACAAGAGGTTTTCAACAGTCAGAAAGAAAGTGGAGAGAGGAGATACAACATCAGTCACCTTCCTGCTGGGGGTTGCGGGGACAGGGCCTCCACACACACCTCTGCCGCTTCTGCTGCAATTGTTGGCACTTCTGCTGCAGCTGCTGGTGGCTCTGGGCAGCAGCTGCTAGGAGCTCCTCAGCCTTCCTGTGCTCTTCCTGAAACAGCTGCCTGGGGGGTCCAGTAGGGGGTGGTCAGCACCGGCCACTCCCTCCTCCCACCCTCTTCACCTCCACATCTTACACTGTGGCTGCAGCCTCCTGGCTGCGGAGAAAGAGTCCCTCATCGAGGGTGGAGGGGCCCTCAGCCCCACACAGGGAGCACAGCTGATGCTTCACATCTTCCAGTGTTGCCTTGACCAGTTTCTCTGCAGCACGAAGGGGCAGGTGAGCACATGAGGGAACGTGAGGTCAGATATGGGCCATCCACCTTCCCTGGCCTCACCTTCCTTGAGCAGCTGCTCCTTGTTGCTGTCCAGAGCACAAATCTCCCTTGCCAGCCGCTCTGGCCTCTGAGGGGGAAGAAAAGAGGCCTGTCCACACCTCTTGGCTTTCCCCCATGCCTCAAAGAAGGCTATCTGGATCTTGTTTCATACTTGCTCACTATGCCTCACTTCGAACAACTCTGCCCCTCTGTGCACACCAGCCACAGTACAGCCTTAGGGCCATGGCACTGGCCATTTCCTCCCTGTGCACTTCTGTCATCCCACATCTCTGCAGTGCTGCAGTTGGGAGGCTCATGGATTGTTATAACAGATAAACCTGCAAACACTATGAGTCTTGGCCGTTTTCTGGAGGATCAGGTACCAGTTTAGCTCTGCAGCTCCCCCCACTCCCCTCTGTCCTGGCGTGACCTCCTCACTGAGCCCTTCCTTCCTAACACTCACTGTCTATTTTCCTGTTCAGTGCCTAGGGTCCTCCTGGCGGGCAAACACTGATTGCTTATCCTCGTTGTCTCCCTTGTGCCCGTGATGGTTCCAGACACATCCACTGACACTGATGGAAAACTTGACCTTGGCTCATCAGAGATGCCCCTGACCACTGAGCAGCAGGACCACAAGGAGGTGACAAGGGGCTGGATTTGGGCAATGTTGATCTTAGCACCACCAGGGCTTGCTCGAGGACTGGGTGTGGCAGGTGAGAGGAAGTGACCGTTTGGGCCTGGTGCTGCTAGGGTAGATGTGGAAAGGGGAGAAATGGCTTTGAGGGACTCACATGGAAGTCCCCGAGGTCCTTGTGCTGGCCCATCAGCTCCTCCAGCTGTTCCTCGAACGCTAACCTGGGGACCAACCACAGGCATGAGGTGATATGGGATGACATCACCACCTTCACAGCCTGTCCAAGTCTGTGGGTCTTCAGGCACAGACCTTGGGGTGCTTTGCTCATGGTCTCTGCTCCACTGGGAGCATCTTCTCCACCTTGAACCTCTAAGGCTCAGCGTAGCCAGCTCTTCTAACCCCCATCTTTGACATTATGCCCCAACTACCAGCCATCCAAACCCCCTGCCTCAGGTGCTAAGGTTTACCTCAGCTGTCTCTGTTTGTTCTTCTCTTCTTCAATCTGCAAGCTTAGAGCAGAAATTCTCTCCTTGCACTCCTGCAGCACGGTGTGCTTCCTGGGAGAGGTGAGGCAGCCCTCAGCCATGTTTTCTTAAGCCCCAGGAGGGCACTGGGTTGGGGCTTCTGCCTCCCTCTATTGAGGCTATTTTTTCCCCCTCTACATTAAGGTCCTTCTCTGTAACAAGTGATGGGTAGGGAGTGACGTGAGCATTTGCCCCCTGGAAGTAATGTCGTCAGGTTAAGAGAGATGAGTGTGGACATGGTCAAGTAAGCAAATGCACACACATCTTAATATCATCTGGTTTTCCCAAAGAACTGAAATCTCAGTGTGCTAGGGCCTGGGGCCTCTGGTAACAAAATGAGCTAAATCAGGAAGTGGAGAAATGCATGGACAAATCGATGGGTGGATGAAAAGATAATGGATGGAGAGAGAATGGACAAGTGGTTGGCTCAATGCCAACAGACAAGTGAACAGACAGATGAGTGAACAGACATCCAAGGAGTATGACAAAGAGTAAGAGGCAAAGAATAAAAACCAGTTGAAGAAATTTAATTGATAATTTAGCAAATGAACGTCTATGCCATTGAGAGAGTTACCTTTAACACTACTGCCTGCTGTTGGAGCCAAAGGGGAAAGACACTCTTTGGACTCTCCATTGTTTAGAGAGAGAGAATGAGAGCTGTGGATCTCAGACTCACCTTCCTGCCTCTTTCTGCTCTACCAGAATAAAGAGGTAGGGGCAGAGTTAGGCTCAGCTGGAAGCTCTTACCTCTGTGCCTCACTTTCCTTTTCCTGGCAATGCAGCCGGAGGATCCTCAGGGTCTCTGTAGGGAGAGCAACAGGGCCCTATGAGAACCTGTCAAGGTATCAAGTTTTGGCAGGGGAACACGGCCAGATCATGTCAGGTCTGTGGACACCTGATGGAGCTTTAACATTTACTACATGTCTGGTGGAAGCCAGAGGCGAGAGGCAAGCTGGGATAGGTTTCAAAAGGCTTCAGCTGCCATAGGGGGAGAGTGGGCCTCTGTGGGCTGGCAAAAGGAACAAGCCTGGAGACGGGAGTGGCAGATACCTTGTTTTTTGCTCAAGATCTCCTTCAGGTGTACTTTCTCTCCATGCACTGGAAAACAGTGACACATTTTGGCATCAGGGACTATGCAACGCACCCTCAGGGATGGGGATTGCTCATGGTCACATGGGAAGTTGGGCACAGCCTTGCCCCCAACCCAAATGTGAACCCCTCGAAGTGAGCCCCTCCCTACTCTCTGGTGCCCACATTCCCTGTAAGCACCAAAGGGCCTTCACATTTACAGAGGGTGGCTGTGAGGGCCCTGGAGGATGCCCATGCTTTTATATGGGGAGGAGAGAAAAAATACAAACACCCATGAAGTCGGGTAAGGGCTGTGAAGAAACACATCAAATAGGAAGGGGCACGTGACCAGATGCTGACAGGGTGCCACCTTTAGATGGGATGACTGGGGAATGCCAGTCATCCTGTCTGGGGACATTCTAACTTAGAACTGTTGATGTGAGGAAAGAGGAACCTGTATTATCTGAGGAAGCATAGGCAGCACCTGGCAAAAGCTCTGAGGTGGGAATGAGGTTGGAGGGTATTTCTTGAACACTTCCACAAGCAGAGAAGAGAGGGGGAGACTGGCAGGACATGAGGCTGGAGAGGGTACAGGACCCTCGGCCATGGCAAGGATGCTTATCATCTGGAATACAGGGTTAGGGGAGGCTTGAGACACTGTAGGGACCTCTGGGTGACCCCCGGCTCTCTTACACAAGTCCAGTTCCTTCTGCAGGGCCTCACAGATGGTCCGGGCCTCTCCTAGGTCTTCATTGGCTTTCTTTTTGGCTTCACCAGAGAGCAGAAAAACATTGTGTGAGTGTAGCCTCTATTCTCTTGCCAACAGTGACATTTCTCATTTGCCTTCAGGAAAATCTATAGTGGCCTAGATTTTATACAGTAGGAAATGAGGCTTCCAGAGTCCAGGCTCTCCTTGCCAGGGGCTGCTGATAGCAGGGCTAGGATCATGGGTATATTAACTATGGCAGTTGCATGCTGAAATGCCCTGTACTTAATTTAAGGCTCTGCTGCTGCTGTTGTGAATAACCAGTAACTTTGGAACAAGGGACCCTGCATTCTCATTTGGCACTGAGCCCTGCAAACCATGTAGCTGGTACTAGCTGGCAGCCAAGGCCCCTGAACTCACCTTGCTGGGCCTCATTAATCCGGTTAATCAGGACCTCAACTCGGGGCTCTAGGCTTCCCACTGCAGGGAGGAAAGGAGGTTGAGTTGCCAGGGCAGGCAGAGGTGGGGTGCTTGCCAGCCTTGTGTCTCTGCTGCTTTCACGCAACACAGATCTATTGAGTACCTACTGAAAGCAGGTGCTGTGTGGGGTCCTCACAGGGCTCATGTTCTGGGTGGGCGAGACTGGGAACAGACACAATAAGATACCGAGTGGGGCTGTGGTAACTGTGTTCAAGAGAAATAAAGTAGGGCAAGGGGCGTTAAAGCGCAAAGGAGTGGAAAGCGCTCCTCAGATATGGGAAGGTATCATGAGAGCCCCAAATCAGGTGGCAGGGGGGCAGGCCCTGCAGCTCTTTGGGTTGGGGTGGGAGGTAGTCAGTGCAAAGAACACCTCTGAGGTGGGAACATGGCTGGCAGGAGCCTAGTGAGCAAAGAGGGAGTAGCGGTTGAGGGGAAAGAAAGGGAAGTAAAGGTGGCAACTTCTGGATTTAATGGACTGCAGTGGAGCCAAATGGGTGACCAGCAAGAGGTTTGGGACAGGGTTTTGGGATAACATTTTGCCTTCCTTACCCTTTTTCCTTCTTTAATTTTGAATGATGGGACCCTATTTTTAGTTCAAGTAATTAAGTTTTAAAAGAAAGAGAAGGTGAAGAGGATTATTTCCCAAGTTTGTACATTGTGGGGCTGGAAATTGAACCCACATCTGCTTGGCCCCAAATCTCAGGCTGAGCCTCACACAAAGGAGACACATGACCTTTCTGCAGCTTTTTCACCATTTCCATCAAGTCTTCAATTTTCTGTGAGGATGTGTCCTGCCCTGTGGAGACAAAACCAAACATTTCAGAATCAAGCAGGGCGAGAGGCCAGAGGAAGGATCTGACAGCCCCTGGGCTGAGACTGAGGTAGACTGAGGGCAGGTCTCCAGCCAGAGTGGTAGCCCTGCTCCTTGTCCTAAGGTGAACAGTACACTAGATGAATCAGGCTCCTCCATGGTCAGCTTTTCCCTGCAGGGTAAAATTATACCAGGCAGCCCTTTGTAAAACTCTGGGTGAGGGCAGGGGTGTACTCTCATTGCTGAGGCTGTTCAAAGTAAGGTCAAAGCTCCTGATATAATAATTCAAGAAAAAAAATGAGGGTATAAAAACCTGAAACAAGGAGTCAAAAATCACTGTAACTAGCAGATAACATAATCTAGGAAGTTCTTAAGAGAGTTTTCTATAAAACCACAAGGATTAGTAGCAAAATGCCTTAGGATGTTAGTTTAAAAACATATATAAATACAAATAGCTTTCCTATATACAACCAATACTAAACCTTAAATCTCCCCATAAAATATTTCATATTAATTTTTTATAATTATTGGAACCTATTTTTAACACTAAAATTAGTAGATATAAGAAATTATTTATGGCATTAACATTGTGAAAGGAAAATAAATCTTTTTATAAATATTTGAAAATAAATCAATTCAAAGTTACCCTCTGCTGAGATAGATGTGTATCTGATTTTGTAAAATAAATATCTGAAAATAAATGAATTCAAAGTCATCTCTCTGCTCACTCAGATAAATGCATATCTGATTGCCTCCTTTGGAAAGGCTAACCACAAACTCAAAATAATGCAACCATTTGTTTTTTATCTACCTATGATCTTGAAGTCAACCTCCCTGCTTCAAGTTGTCTCATCAATGCTTTGAGGTGACCCACCTTTCCAGATCGAACCAATGTTCATCTTACATATGTTGATTCATGTCTCATGTCTCCCTAAAAAGCATATAAACCAACCTGTGCTCTGACTACCTTGCCACCCTGGACACATGTCATCAGGACCTCCTGAGGCTGTGTCGCAGGCATGCATCCCTAACTTTGGTAAAATAAACTTCCTAAATTGACTGAGACCTGTCTCAGATTTTGGAGTTTCACATTTTGGCAACCACAAAGGGATTCTGAGTAGAGGTGCTCCTGACCTTTGACAAATATTCTACCAGTGCCTGCTAGCAGCTTGAGCTATCTTTGTGGCTCAAACTAATTTCACAAGTTGCTGAGGTCTGGAACTCCCCTATCCAGGGAATCCCTCATTTCCCAAAATTCGTTCGAAGGCCAAAGTTTATTTTCTGAACAACTCTTCTCTTTTTCTGGAGTTTTACTTGCTTTCGACAAGGAAGGCAAGTTTTCCTGCTACCATGAAAACTCATTTCTGGAGTTTGAACTCGCTCCCAACAGGAAAGACAAGTTTGAGGGTTTTTTTTCCCTGCTTCTAAGATGATAGAGACAAGTCTTCAGCCTAAGACCCGTCCCTAGGTAAGTAACTGAATTGGGGTTTGTCTTGGCTAAAGGTAAGATTAACAACCAGCTGCTCTTAATTTTTCCTTACCATTACAGTGTTCAGTAATCATACAAGTTGTGTGATCATTTGTTTGTTATGCTTAACCGCTATTTTTTTTTGTTGTTTCTTTCTGTTTTTGCTGTTTTGGTCCTTTTCCCATTGGGTTTGGCCAATTCTATCTGACTTGATCAAATCCAAAGGAAAGTTCCAAATTATGTGGAACAAGGCCTCTGAAGTGGCTAAATTCCCATCAGAAAAGTGGTGGTGGGGGAAGAAAAAACGGCCAGTAAAAGTAAAAAAGGGGGAGAAGATTTTTGATTTTGACTACTTAAGTGGTTTCATTTACATAACAAGGCTATCTTTTTGCTAGCCAGGCCAAACTGAAAGAGAAATGATTGTCACCCACACTGCAGTTCCATAGCTGAGGTTCTGTCTTCTTTTTTTCCGTAACAGCCTGGGTTTGGTTCCTAAATCAAGACCTTTCTGGTTTGATATTTGGTACTTCTGAAATAGCAGCTATTCGTCCTAGCTGAAATATGTTGAAGAGATTTAGAAAAAAAATTTAAAAGAAACTCAAAAGGTTAAAAGTCAGCTTAATTAAAAGCTAACATCCAAGATATATGTGTGTGTGTGTGTGTGTGTGTGTGTGTGTATGTTTAAAAGGCTTTCACGATTTTTCTTTTCTCTCTCTCCTAGGTCCTTGTGTTTTTTGAGCAAAAGTTTTTTTTTCTTCTCAGTTGACTGAAGGCTGTTTTCTTCATTTAGTTCTGCTGTCTCTCCTTTCTCTTGCACCCTCTGCTGCATGAGGGACCTAAAACAGTTTATAATAGCATGAGGTTCCTTAAAGAAAATGGAGAAGGCATCAGACTCCCATTTGCGGAGAAAACTGCTTTTCCTTATGCATTTCCAAGAGTGTAAACAGACAAATTCATCTTAGCTCTTAAACTGCTTGCTTTTGTACTGTGTTACCTGATATATA